TTTTTAGGTAATGGAGTTTCCTGTGGTGATCCTATTTATATTTATTTTAAAGATAACAAATTAGTAGTTGGCACGTTTCTTTACGTATTCTGGAAATGAACTATTCGCTATCGGGAAACACTTGTGATTTTAGTAATATAAATTAAATAATTAAATAATCTAATCTCGTGGGATCTCTTTAGAGCGGATGAATAAGGTTCATGATATATGAATAGTACTTACCATTAGTGATAAGAGACATTGATACCTCATCTTCGTTTGTAATTTCATTATCTACATTATCTAAAATAGGACTTTCAGGTATAGGACTTTTAGGTTTTTTATTTTTAGAAGGCAATGGAGTCATCTGTGACGGTTCTATTTAAATTCATTTTAAATATAGTATATTAATAGTAGTGACATTTCTTTTGTATATTCTGGAGGCCTGTCAAGGAAACTATTTCCTTGTAATTTAGTGATATATATTAAATAATTCCAATGACAGATCTCATAGGGATCTTTAAAGCAGAGGTTGAAGACCCGCGAAATATGAATAACGCTCACCGTCTGTGACTAGAGACATTGATACTTCGTCTACTTCATCCGTGTTTAACGTTATTTTATCTGTAAAATTACTTTTAGGATTTGTAGAGGCGGCTGCAAAAAAAGCCTCTACGTCCTCAAGGCCGTCAGCATTTTTCGTCACCTCTCCTGAAATTGTTACTCCAGTTTTTCTAAAGTTATTAAACTTTTGACTTTATATACTACAGAGTACGAGTATAATAACTTTATTTGACTACTTGACACGTACCTTCCAACAACACCAATGTCATCTACGTATTTGTTAGGCTTTCTACTTTTGCGTCTTGGCGTGTCCATTTTAACGGACGTTTAGTAGTAATTTATTTTTCTTTGTAAAATTTAAACTGTGAACAAGAACGACGCGATTCATTCACGTGATAATCATGTTAGGGCGTTATGTCACATCAAATAGTGATTCGGGACGTAGGGATTGGCACTTAACCATTTATTTATATTATACGGTTAAACGAGTATAAATTTTCTTAAACCACTAATTTATTCACTTAAATTTAATACAATTAATCGTTTAACTATCGTTTAATGCCTCATGTAGAGACAAGCAAATATGAATATAACACAAGTTTTTAAAAACAAACTTTTATAATTCTAATGATTTGTAAAAGTTTAATTATATTGAGACAATAATCTTTTTTCTTGAAATATAAAGAATAGTGATGAATAATAGTTTTATATAAGCCAACATTCTAAAGAACAATTGAATTTGGAGATCTTTATAAATAATGTTAGTATTATTAGTTTCATAGTGAAGGTTTTTTTTTTTTTAAACCCAAGCTTTATAAAGCTAAAGGCGTAGTTGGCGCTCTTTATTTACAATTAATTAATAACTTAAAGTGAATATTTTAAGTATTTATATAAGATTTTTTTTTCTAATGATCTATTTGTTTTATATATTTGTAAAAATTTTAGATCTTTTTAGAGATTCAACTTTTAACAATTGCTAAGAGTATTAAGATAGAAAAAGTGTTGTTTTTTTATTTAAGTAAAGTATAATAATATTAGAGTTTGTAAATTGTTGTGATATGAAGCCAGTTTAGTACTTGTTTTTAAGAAGAATTCTGAGTACTTGATCTGTAAAACATTTTTTTAAAAATTGAAAAATAATTGATTAATTTATTTGTGTTAAAAAATCTGTATACTATTTTTTAAACATATTCACTTAAACTATAGTTTATTGTAAAGTATTTTGGTGTTTGAGATTTTTTAGTATACTAATAATAAAATTCTGCTTTTAGTAATTTTATATATTTGAGTTTATATCTAAGAAGAAGAAACCTATAGAAAAAGCATCAATATATATCTTTTTTCTTGTTTATAATTGTTTTTGTAAATAACTAGTTTGCTATTAATAAGTTTAATATTGGATATACTAAAAAGAAAATAAATACAGTTTTTCAGAATATTTATAAAACTTTGTTTATAATAATTTTGTTTCTTCTAAAATTATTTAATATTATTTTTTCTTTGTTTTAAAGCTAGTTTGTATTAGCTAAAATTTTTTTTTCTGTATTTTTCTAGATTAGAAAAAAGAATTTCTATATTTTTTTTTTTTTTTTTTTTTTACTTTATACAAATACTATTGGCCTAATTTCTATTAGTTATATTGTTACAAGTATATAGCTTTCTTAATATAACTCAAGTAATATAAAATATAGAAGAAGAGTTTCTAATAATATTTAAGTAGAATATTATATCACTATTCCTTAATCTGTAGGCTATTTTCAGGCAAATTTGTCTGGAAAATTTGTGTAATACTGCTATGATCTATATTTTTATAAAATTAAAATATTCAAAAAAATTTTTTTTAATAATATTTAAAAATAAGGATTATATAATTGCAGTATTTATTTTTATATTATAAGAAAAAAAATTTAAGTTGCCTATATACTAAAGTTATATGATCTTTGAAAAATTTTTTATTCAAAAAATTTT